CTCCTCCCTACTGATTAGTAAATAAGGAAGCTTTGAAGAAAGCACTAATCAGCACTGAAGTCTTGTGGAATATGACATACCACACTGTTTTTGCTTGTAGGAGTTGCATCCTACTTGGTATTTATGCCTTTAGATTTGGCAGCCAATGCCAATCGGTTCCGAACTGGAGTATCTACTAGAAGATAAAGGACTTTGGGAGCTTGTTAAGTTATGGCCTGTATGGTTCTTAGGAGTCATGCCCCACTTGGCCACAAGAGCTCCTAGATTTGGTAGCTAACGCCAATCAGTGGATTAAAATTGGAGTATTCACTAGGAAGTACAAGCCCATGGTATTGGGGCCTCCTCTGCTATAGGATGAAGGTGTGAAGAGGTGTGATGTGATAAGTAACCTTAGGAAATAGTTAGCAATATTGATTGCCCTCTCAAATTGGACTGGTAGGTTAGGTGATTTAAACTAGTGGTAGGACTTCCAACCTTTAGTTAGATCCCTTCCAAAAAATATGAATCCACTTCATGAGTGTTACTAATATCGCTGGGTAATATGTAGATAGGCTAGTATTTAGCTGTTGTAATAGCAATAGATGATGTTTGATATATATATAATTGATGATTATCTCAATAAAATCCCTGCATCTAATGCTATTCTACTATAAAAAAAAAAATAAAATAAATATTAATTTAAAAAATGCAAAAAAATTTAAAATAAATCTTTTGTATTAATAAATAATTTTAATTAAAATAATTTTATATTAATTAGTAATATTATTTAAAAATTATATATTTTTTTTAATGTTCTATTTTAAAAAATATATTATTTTTTATTATAAAAAAACATATAAAAACATATAAAATTAATTGACAAATTAAAATTTGATATAAAAATTTTACTTAAAAAAAATTATTAAAAAAAATTTTAATAATATAATTTATAAACTAGTTATAAATAAAAATAATTTTATAGTATTCAAGTATTTATATTTAAGTTTATATTTAATTTAAATAAGTTTTTATTAAGTTAAATATATTTCAAAAATTTATAAAAACTTTCAGGTACCATTGTATATTTATAAAAGAAACAATATCTCTTATATGCAAATTATATATACAGTAACTTAAATATTAACCTACTTATAACAATTATCTAATTAATATATTAAAAAGATTTTAAAACAATATATAGTATATAATTAAACAGTATTAAATAGTTATATAGTTTTATTTAAATCTTTTAATAAAATTGTAATTGTATCAAAGTTTTATAAAAATAAAAATAAAAATAAAAAGAGAATTATCTATTTAGTATAGATGTTAATAAAAACCGTCTTTTTGATTTTTGAAACTTTTACTAATATTTTTATTAATATAAATATTTGAATATAAGTTGTATAATTGATAATTAATATAATAGTTAATTAATTTGTTAATATTTTTATTATTGTTATTGATATATAGATTCTACTTAAGATTTTATGAAAATAAAAATAATATCAATAAGAAAATTTTTAGTTTGATATGATGTTAAAAAAAATTATCCTTTCAATTTCTTGAGACTTATTTTTAAAATTTTTGTTAATATAATTATCTGAGTAAAAGATATATAGATAATGAATATTGTAATGATTAATTTGAATTATTATTATTGATATTATTATTGATGTGTTAATAAATTGATTTAAATCAATTTTGTTATTTTTATTTGAATAATATAATAGATTTTAATTAGATAATTATCAATTGAAAGAAGTAAACTGATTTTAATTTTTGTAATTAAAAAAAGTTATAAATTTTTTTAAGTGATGTAATAAATATTGCCAAAGAGTGAAGATTGTATTAAAAAAACATTAGAATTAATAATTTTATTTAAATGTGTTTTTTGAAAAATGTTTATGAGTTTAATAATGTATAATAATAATAATAATAATAATTTTTATAATATTAAAAGGATATGGGTTGCAAAAAAATAAAAAATAAAAATTTATTGTTACAGATCTTTCTTTATGCAACTAAAAAGTAAACAAAATTCCAAACTTAAATAAAAAGACTTTAATCAAAAAGTCTTATTCCATTGTATTAATTGTTCTTGATGTTCTTGAATTCCCGAGTTAAGGCTTATTTGCAATAAAGAGTATAAACCATTTTTCTTTAAACAAAATTATTATAAATAAAAATTTTTAAAAATCAGATATAATTAGAAAAAAGTTTTTTTTTATTTATATATTTTTATATTATATAAAACTAATATATAAATAAATATTTTTTTAATCTTAATAAGTTTCAATTTTTGCTAATATTTAAAATATATATACTAAAAATTCATTATTCCTTTGAAAATATTAATAATTTCTTTAAAAACTTTTACATAAAATCTTTTTCTTTTCTTTTCTTTTTTTTTCTGTTGAATTTTTTTTAAACATACAGTAGGATAACATTACTGGGGCACAAAATTTCAGGTTTCAAGAATGATTCTGCTAAAGAATTCGGCATCAGACTTCTCAACGATAGAACCTTGGCAAGGCAGTTTCTACAGTACCTTTGAATAATGTGAAATCGTGATAAGCCAATATAGAGTTCATAGGGTTAAAATGAATCTAAATTTTCTTGTAAATGTACAGATAATAGATAATGTTTCATGTGTTACCGAAATAAAGTATTAAGGGATAGGGCCCTGTTGAAAAAAAAAATAAACAATATGTGAGAAAAAATACGGTCCATAGTGCATATTGTGAAAATCAAGTATGATGATAAGATACTGTATACAGTAGTTAAAAAATTTTTTTTGTCATTAAAATTAATTATACTGATGTAAATAAACATGGGCAGGTTCGAGATTTTTTTTTTAATATTTGCGAAACGCCGTACAATTAAGTGTTTTTTCTATAAAAAAATAAATTTATCGGTTCGGTCACCTTAATGACTCATTCTAGTGATATAATTAGCAGTAGAGATGAAAACTTGGCTGGTAACGATGAAAAAAAAAAATGCAAAGTTGGAAACATAAGAATCATGCGATACGATGTGAATTTATTTTTTTACTTTAAGAAAAAAAACAACATCGAGTTATCTAACACCCTACACCAATAATTCCGAGTATTATTGTAAGACGTGAGATATGTGTATGCGTGTTCAAGAATTCGATTCTCGGAACAATGGAATGTTGTTTGAATAAATTTCTCGTGTCAATCTACAATCACCGTGTACCCAAGTATTTTTTTTCACTGCTTCTTGTGACACACATAACTGGTAAAGAGGAATTTATGGAAAGTAGAAAGTGATTATATTGTCGTGCCGGAATATTTATAGGAAACGTGCACATGTATTCACCATTCATGTACTCGTTCAAACATTTGCGGTGTTACTTAATTCTGTTACAATCGTTCACAATCATTATCCACCTTTGTAAGTCGTTGTCTTATTTCGATCTTTTTTTTCCACAAGTATTTCCGAAAGTCACACACAGGCTTGGAAGGAATACTCGTGGCAGTCAGCCATGTCATTTCGTCTGTACCTCCAACATCAACCATTCAAGGAAAGTTTGTTTCTAATTAGATTATCCGCTAATCCTGAAGTTGCATATGTTAATCGGTTTCTCCGAGTGTTCGAATTAGCGAATTGTCGTGGATGATGGAATAAGGGAGTTACAGTCTGGGTAGATGTTCGTCCTACTCCTCCCCTCCATCGCATTATCGAGCTCGCATTCAATATCCTTAACCTTCCATTGGTCCTTCCTTCACGCTCGTCATTCCTCGATCACACGCATGCGCATACACATACACGCACACACTTCTTTTCTTATTGTCAATATGCTCAGTTAATGAATTGGATTGCCTGAAACTTGCAGGAATTTTTTTTAAGTTTTACGTGAGTACATGCTGTACAGTATGTAGGTATAAACGGGTAGGCAAGAACACAAAATCAGATATGGATCGATTTTGTTACAATCTTAAAAAAAACCAAGTAATCAACAACAAACATTAACATTTACTGATTTTTTTTGGTTTCCTTTTTTGGAAGTACACAGGGTACACACGGTTCGAAAAGGGGTTTGGGATGGATCAAGAGACCTTGCCTTTCTTCGCTCTTTTTTTTTTGGTTTTTTATTGGCCATACGTCAATCCTGGTATATGTCTTCTTTTTTATTCGTATCCTAGCACGTATGTTCTTTTTTCCTAATCTTCCGAATATGCGAGGGTACAGCGAGGCCCTGTTGAAGAATAGAAATTTTCGTCCTGGTTTGGTTCGGTTATCAATCAAATCTCATGTACCTGATCGAATGCTACACATGCAAGCATTTTGTAAATTTGTAGATAATGTGATGACCAAACATTTGGTGTGTACGTGCACTTAAACAAAAAAAAGGTAGAATTAGTAAATAACAGCGGGGGTTTGTTTGTATGCTTGCGTTTTTGCCTCGTTCATACTTGTGCTCGATCGACCTGCCAAACTACCCGAATCATGGTGTCCCAGGAAATAAACAAGATCCTTTGTTTATGCGTTTTCATCCCAGAGAACGAATCTTATTTCCACTGGTCATCCGCTGATTAATTGCCTTTGGTAAAATCTTAACCGAAAGGTGAACCAGAGAATGGTGAGTACAGTTTCACCTTGTTTATACAGTACATTAACACACCACTGATACCAACTAATGTTAACGAGGTAGGTAGGTAGTCAATACCTTGTTCAGAAATTTTATTGAGCTCACCAAATGAAATTATTCAAAATTTCACTTAAGAGGTGTGGGTAAATGTATACATGTAATGTGCGTACATACAGGGGTATCAAACAAAGAAAAAAAAAAATAATAATAATTCGATGTCACTTGTACCTCTGCATGCCTAGACCATACCATAAAAACCAATATATATATATTATACAGCATAAATCGAAGAAAGAATGTGACACCCAAGTGTGGTAAAATGCGATTATACATGATAATGTACAAGTGAAAATTAATGATCAAAAAAGAGTGGGTGAATGATAATACATAAAATTTTCTAATAATGTCACCATGGACCCAAGGTAGAGGAGTCATATGATGCGCACTCCACGTCGACCACACCACTACCCAGCATGCCCAAATCTATTCCGTTCACCGAATCCTTTGAACTTCTCAAACTATTCTGTGGATGAGCGGACCTGTGATTGTCACGGTTGGTCACGTTCTCGCCAACCTTACTCTCACCATTGGAGTGACCAAGAATATTGAGATTACAGAACAATGATCCGTTGTTTCGATCATTTCCATAGTATTCATGACACCGATTCCGATGGTAATAGTTGATGCAACGATTGTTCGGAGGAGTTAAACTCCTTTTGTTATCATAATGGTTGTTAAAGAAAGAGGTAATATTATTGTGATTATAATTATTTCGCATATTGTTACTAATGGTTTTCGTTCGTGGGTGGTTGTTGTTTACATGTTCGTCGGCAACCTGACCGATGTCTCCACTGGAAGGTCGCTTCTTTCCGTAGAATCGCATCGACTGTATACTTGATCTATAACTGTTCACCTCTTTCTCGGCTATGTGATTCGCTATTATATCATAACAGTCGGTACATCCATTTTCTGCAAAATTGAATGTCGAGTTAAAAGCTTGTAAGCGTGAGCTGAGTGCGCGTATTCAAATTGTTCAAATTGTCTTTGTTATTTTACCATTCGTGCCACTCTCGGCGTCCTTGGTGGTGGTGGTGGTTGTGGCGGCCGACAGTAACCGAAAAATCTCATCTTGCGGGTCGCTGTTGCCTAGCACGTCGTTGAGTATCGGTCTTAGGATTGGTCTGAAGGATTTTGATAGAGCGATCACATTTTCTTTTGCCTGTCCACGTGTGAATTTCGAATAAGGTTAATAAGAATTTTGAACATCGTCCAATGCACTTGTGTGCTCAGAAATCAGGATATTAACAGGGAGTAAATTGCAACACGTTCTTAAAAAAAAAAAAATAAATAAAGAGTTGATCTCTGTTTTACATTCTAATTGGGTTTAATGAATTACAAAAATAGAAAGGGGTTGACTTTTTTTTTTTGGTAGATTGTGAACATAAATGGATGGACAATGGTATATAGGTGAGATGAATGGCAAAGATTTTCAAATGAGAAGACTGAATGAGGTTGTTGCAAAATTTATCGGCAGGTAGGACAAAAAAGGAAACTCGGGACCTCACAAAAAATCATGGGAATCGTAGAGAACTCACCAATTCGCCAATTTTACCGCCCCACTCGCCCAAAGGAGTAAACACATGTTCTTCTTCGAGATCTATGAGACTTGAGGTGTCGGCCATTATGCGAGATATGTGCGAGCACATCGATGGATTTATTTCTTGAGAAGTCAGGTAAGAGCGTACTACAGTACAGTATATACGGATCATGGAAAAACGAAAGAGATTAATTTGTTGTCGATCATTTGGAAAAAAAATCAAGGGGCGGAAGGACCAGACGGTATGCATCATAGATCGCATATGCAAGATACGTACACAACTGATTCATCTTTAAAGAGAATGGACCCTCATTGTCAAACTGTATATCACACTCCATGCACTCCACCCATCCACCGGGTTTACACACCCTCACCAATTCCTGCATTAAGTCGGGCCACTGTTTCTCTGTCAAGGCCAGGTTCATGAATCGCAAGTACAC